AGGCATCTTAACATCTTTAGTTGAAGTGAGGGATAGGTTGGATGAGGCTTTGCGCAACCTGGTGTAGTGGAGGGTTTGCCTGCCCATGGCAGGGGGGTTGGAACTAGATGATCTTTGAGGTCCCTTCCAACCCTAACCATTCTATGATTCTATCACTGTAAATTGATATAATTAAACAATTGAAGTTAACCAGTTTTATTTACTAAGTTGTAGATAAATGCGTAGGTAGCACCCATCCACATGTTCAACTACTCACAAGTCATTAGAACAATAGAGAAAAAAAAGCAGAACCCTAAACACATCAGAGCTCAGCCACAGAGATAACAATAAAAATCCAAAAATGCAAGTTCAATACTTAATCCATGCTATCGTATTTTGAAAAATGTAAGAAATTTATGTTTCCATATGCTTAAAAGTAATTAGATTCTCCAGCATCAGAAGACAGCAATCCAAGTCCCTCAAGATATCCACCTATAAAAATTAGGCTAAAAAACCCAAACCAAAAGACTGAGGTATTAGTGACTAATTTGAAAGGCTGTTAAAGCGGTCATCTGCATTTCTCTCAACTATGAGAGTTAACAGAAAACCATTATATTGAATTATGAGTTAGATTTAGAAAGTCTATACAAAGCACAATTTTAAGAGTCCTTTCACCCTGCAATACGTTTTTTGTATCAAGAATTTCTTGCTATGCAGGAAAACAAAATACACTGACAGAAAAAGTCTTAGGAAAGACAAAAAGCAAGGATGGTGGCAAACGCGAGGACGGTTAACTTGATGTGGACATGGACAGGATCAATTACCCATGCTCATATGAGAACGTATACAGTTTTAAATTGTACTGTAATACTACAGAATAATTATATATCTACATGTAGAATATAATTTAATTATATAGAAGAAACCAAAATTTCACAACTAAGGGCCTACAAACAACATAGCGTGTGGCTGAAAAATTTTGGTAAGGTGAGAACTTTCAACAATTTCCTCAGTTGTAACTTGGCAAAAATACCCCAGTAATAGAACAAGCATCTCCTCTTCAAGGCCAATGGATTCTGCTGACTACAGGATCTAGCCTATGAAAAGTTTTGTTGTTTTACCCATCCATAACAAGGAAAAGCTATAGCGAAGGCTCAGTAATACCCAGCTTTCTATATGATCCTACTAATGCATTAAAGATGTGATCTGCTGCAAGACCATCTCAAGTAAGCGATGATGTTAGCTATGCAATTTAATAACTAAAACAGTCAGAGGTTTCCAAACTCTCCCGTACGTCTAAATTTAAACCCCAGTCAAAGGTTATGCCCCATGTTATATAATCTGCGCTCTTCACTGAGAATGTTATGGCTATAGGCAAAGTAAATGAAAACAACAGCTCCTCTGGATCAATCGTGAGCCATGAAGCAAAAAAAGACCATATGACAGACACAATTTTTCTTGGCACAGTATGGGCATTACAAATTGATGACAATCGTATGTCCATGCTGGCACCCCTCCACAGTGGATGTGTGAGAGTGTCACTACATCTGGATGGTGAGCATGCTACGGTCCCGAGGCACTCCAGGCCTGCTGAAACCAGAGGGACAGCAGCTGCACTCAATGAACACCGTGGGAGCTCCGCAAAGTGATGAAAGGCCTGAATTACCACAAACTGTAAATACAGATTTATTTCATTAAAATACTAGGTAACCACTGCAGTGATCCCTTCCTGAGATTGACTCATTTCAAGCATAAGCCAGCTATTTCAGGGATTCATTCATGTTTCTCTCCTGTAAAGCCAACATAAAATGCAAAACCAGTTAATTTTTTTTTCACCAAGGCTGATAAAAAAAATAAAGCTCACCCCCACAGAAGCAGTGAAAGGAAAGCCAAAAGCATGCAACACTCTCACTGCATTAGCCAAGAATCATAATAGAATCATAGAATGGTTAGGGTTGGAAGGGACCTCGAAGATCATCTAGTTCCAACCCCCCTGCCATGGGCAGGGACACCCTCCACTACACCAAGTTGCCCAAAGCCTCATCCAACCTGGCCTTGAACACTTCCAGGGATAGGGCATCTACAACTTCTCTAGGCAACCTGTTCCACTGCCTCACCACCCTCTGAGTAAGGAATTTCTTCCTTACATCTAATCTAAATCTGTCCTCTTTCAGTTTAAAGCCATTGCCCCTTGTCCTATCACTACATGCCCTTGTAAAAAGTCCCTCTCCAGCTTTTCTGCAGGCCCCCTTTAAGTAATGAAAGGCTGCTATGAGATCACGCCAGAGCCTTCTCTTCTCCAGAAGAAAGGTTGTTCTGTTGCACAACTAATGGGCCTTCAAAATTTTTAGTACAATTTGGACACACACAGAGCTTTTGCTAAACATGGAGAAATAAGGTATGAAAAGGACTGCTCCATTAAGGAGATAGGCCAGCACACACCCTCATTTCTCATCTATGTGTGAACAAATACATCTATAAAGCGATTTCATATGCAAAATTGCAACTTTCTGCGTAAACACTAACAAGTAATTGCTGCTAAGCTTCCAACAACCCTGCTGTTATCCATCATACTGTAAAACACTACAAAAACTCATACGCAACTTTTCAATAAGCTTGGAAAAATAGTGGAAGAAGAAAAAAAAAAAACCCACACTTATTGCTAGAGTACTGATTCCAAAAGAAAGTGACCATCTAATTCAAAGAAACACATGGAAATCAGAGAATGAGTCTCGCTAACCAGCATCTGTGCAAATATCTTGTTTCAAATGAAAACCAAGACTTGACTAACTTTCAGCTATTAAGTTACCATAATTAGAAAATAGCTTCCCAAACAATGAGCAAGGGAGTCATGATGTTAGCTTTCCAATACTTTCAATATCTGTGACGTCTACAAATAAACTGAAGAAGGAAATGACTTGAGACCAATACTGGCACCTAAGAATTATCTCTGCTTTTTGGAGCAGCACTCCAGCAGAATACATCCGTGGGACTGGCCTCATGCACTCTAAAAATCCTTCCATGCAATAGTCAAAGAACTCTTATAACAGTCTCGCTTGCAGGAGCAAAAACTTATGGGAACCCAGGAAGAGTAGGTTTAAGTTGCTCAACAGCTTGGAGCACCTGTCACAAGAAGAGAGGCTGAGAGCTGGGATACTTCAGCCTGCAGAAGAGAAGGCTCAAAAGAATCTTATCACTGTGTGTAAGTACTGATGGAGCGGAGTGAAAAAGACAGAGCCAGATTCTTCTCAGCGGTATCCAGTGAATGGACAAGAGGCAATGGTTGCAAATTGACACACAGAAAAAAGAATGTTTTACTCTAAAGCTGAACATTGGAACAGAGATGCTTTAAAGTCCATCTCTGGAGGCTAAATATTCAAAATTCACCTGGACAAGATCCTAAGCAACCCGCTCCAGTTGACTCTGTTTTGAGGAAGGGAGCTGGCAGAACTAGATTGCCAGATTGGAGTAGTGACACCAAAGTAGTGACAGAAGTTTACATCCCCAGATCTTCCTATGTTCACTGGCTACTTTCTGAACAAATCAAACTGTAGAAGCCTTCAAAGCATAGTGTGAGAGAAGACACCACAGCTCTAATGCTTGGAAGAGGGAAACATGCAGTATATCCTGTGAAAGATAAAGTCCTGCTGCTAATGTAAGATCACATGGATTGAGTTATGAGGATTCAGAGGAACATCACAGACAGGAGACCTACTTTAACAGAAGCACTGCGCGCAGCACATCAGTCTGAAAACAGGAGCTCTTTAGCATCTGCAATACATCTCTCATCCATACACACTGAATGTCTTCAGCTATTCCAGAATGCAGAAAGGGTTAGCAGAAGAGTAGAAAGGCAAGGTAGACTGTGGATCTATTAATGCAAGTCAGTTATCCCAGGAAACAAGTAAGTTCCATGTTCTTGGTGCAGAGGCTGCTACCTGATCTCTTAACACTTCATACCAGACTGACCCCAGCAAACACTTCTCCATACTGCAGTAGGCTCTCATGTCCTGCCTAGAGCCTCAACTATTCCCATTGCACGCCTTTAACTATTCCCCAAGCAGAAGGGTCCATTTCCTTAGGTAATTAGGACTCAAAAGAAACAGAACATTAAAGCTATTTTAGCCTAGTGAACAATCCTCTTAACAGAGGTTTCTCCAGGAAGCAATTCAAAGCCCTTAAGTTAAGCCTGTGCTCACTGACCACAAGCATAAAAAAAGCCTATTCTCCCTGCAGTGAAGTCAGCTGTTGTGATTACTCCTCACAGTAACATATCTCCACAAAGTGGTTGCTTTCACAGAGCTTTCCACCTTTAGAAAAGGTTGCTAACTGTTCTCTTGAACACAATACAAAAAGCTACATTAAAGTTTTATTTTACAAAAAACTTCACTGCTAGTTTTGTACAAAATACTGATATCCAAAGACAGAGCATGTGTATCTAAAGGAGCTAACTTACCCTTTCCAAAAAGTAAGATTCTGTTGCTACAATAAAGAAGTATTAAATTTTAAAGTCATTCTTTTTAACAGAACTTCAGCATGACACCAAACAAAACAAAACCAATCCAAAAAAAAACAACTAAAAAAATTATTCTCCAACTGCTAGGGCTACTTCGAAAAAACAAATTTGTGAAGAGTGTAAAGGGGTAAGGGATCTTTTACACTAAAGCATGAAGTTTCTAGATATTCAGCTATAAGTTAGTAGGGACTAGAGCATTCCCCCAGCTAGTATTTCTGAGAGAGAGATCAGCTTAAAATTGACTGCGGACAGAAAAATTAAAACAAAACAAAGACTTGTAGGGGATCTTAATGGAATGAGAAAAAAAAAACCACACAAACACAAAACTTGTAATACTTTTCATCAAGGGAAGTACTTGCCTGACATTTTTCCCTTGTTCTCTCAACATCTTCACCAGATCAGCTATGGGGTACTGAGCTTTTGCTGCACACAAACCGTAACCTGAAAAAAATACCAAATATTAAGCTATTTTTCTGTTCCAGTGCAGACCAAACAGTTAGAGACAATAAGTGTACCTTCCACACAAAGAGAAGCTCTCATAATTAAAAAGAAAGAAGAAAAAAAATTATATTTATATAAATATATACACACACACGAGACTCATTCCAGACTGACCACTGTAATTCTTCTCTTCTTTTTGGTCAGTGTAGTGGTTTGACCAGTCAAACTACACAAGTAACTTATTTCAGCTTCACAGAAATATGTGTTGCATTCTCTATCAGAAAAGGATGTTTCAGATAGGTACACTAAAAAATTGATAAAGAGGCTACTATGAGGTTACTTGACCATCATTACCCTCAACAAAATTTCGGATTTGCATATTGCAAACCTAGTAGTTGAATACACCTTTTAGCAGTAAATAATCTGTTAAGTCTTTCTGTCTGAATTAATTCATCAGAGAAATAATGCCCAGGAAGAAAATGAAGAGTATAAATGATTAACAGTGTCTTGAAAATCTGACCACAAGAGCAACAGGCAAACTCCTTGAAGATGTTTGCAAGCTTTGTTAGAAAATAAAGGTAACTTCCCAAATTAGAACTCTACCTCACTGATATTTTCATTTAAGCTGAAAAAAAAAAACGAAAGACAACTTTGGTTTTTAGCATTCTTCTCATTCCTACGCTAAAATAAATTTAACACAATAATTGTGCCATTCAGCTGAAGGAAAACAAGTCTTGAGCTATTCCCTACCCAACCTCTCCTAACAGGGAATGTGCTATTGAACCATATGAGCCTACAGCCAACATAATAGTTTCAGGCGACTCAGAACTTTGGTTCTTTCCACTTTAATTCCAGTATTTGTTGCATACTAACTAGGTTTTAGATGTTTTTCTGCCATTTTTTTAATAAAACAATACAGAATTGAGCGAGCAGATGAGAAGCATAAACAAAATACTCTCAGCAACTTAACAGACAGATATTTTGTTATGGGTACCACTGGTACTGTGGTAGTGCTTGGAAACTCACACCACAACAGCTGTACACAGAATTAACTGTAAACATAATTACAAGACAGCCTTTGTCCTGAAGAATTTGCAATCTAAATAAATTGGAAAAAGTTTGAAGAGACACATACAAGGAAAAATAAAGTGACATACACACGTCTACTCAGAGGAATGATGACTAACCCGGGAACAAAAACAGACCCCACAGACCCAGTCATAGAATCATAGAATGGCATAGGCTGGAAGGGACCTCAGAGATCATCTAACCCAATCTCCCTGTCATGGGCAGGGACGCCTCTCAACTAGATCTGGCTACTCAAGGCTCCCTCCAACCTGGCCTTCAACACCTTGAGGGAGGGGGCATCCACAACTTCTCTGGGCAATTTATTCCAAAGTCTTACCACCCTCATACTGAAGAATTTCTTCCTAAGATCTAACCTAAATCTGTTCTCCTTCAACTTAAACCCATTTCCCCTTGTCCTATCAGTGGACACTCTTGTAAAAAGTCCCTCCCCAGCCTTCCTGTAAGTTCCCTTCAGGTATTGGAAGGCAGCTATTAGGTCCTCCCGAAGTCTTCTCTTTTCAAGGCTGAACAATCCCACCTCCTGCAACCTGTCCTCGTAGCAGAGGTGCTTCAGCCCCTGGATCATCTTTGTGGCTCTCCTCTGAACACGCTCCAACAGATCTGTGTCTCTCTTATGATGGGGACACCAGAACTGGATGCAGTATTCCAGGTGGGGTCTCACAAGAGCAGAGTAGAGGGGGAGAATCACCTCTCTTGACCTGCTGACCACGCTTCTCTTGATACATCCCAGGATGTGGCTGGCCTTCTGGGCCGCAGGAGTGCGCTGCCGGCTCATGTTGAGCTTCTCATCTATAAACACCCCCAAATCCTTCCCCTTCAGGGCTACTCTCAACCCACTCTGTGCCCAGTTTGTATTTGTGCTTAGGATTGGCCCGACCCAGGTGAAGGACCTTGCATTTTGACATGCTGCAGCTACATTGCAGATGCAGGACAGGCTACAGTTTTTTGTTTTGTTTTGTTTGTTTCCTTTCTTTTTTTTTAAATAATACATCCTTTGAAGATCTTGCTGTATGATTTAAGAGCTCTTACCTGGAGTAATAATAATATTATTGGCTTCTTTTATCATTTCAATTGCATTGTCCACATTGATTTCTGTGTGGGTTCCAGTAATTTCCATGGGCTTCCCACCAGCTGTTGAAGTGGTGCCATAGCCCCCTAGAATCACATTTGCAAGGGAACGGTTCATAGCCTGAAAGACAAGAGGTTTTGATCAGCTAAAGATGAAATCCAGAAACAAAGGAGAGACGTCCACAAAGAAAACTCCAGAAGATATTTAAGCTTCCTCACAATAGTTTTTATCTGCTCATTTTGCCCGAATACAACTCAAAATTTCTTAAAACAGGCTCCTTAAAACACAGGCCCAGATTAACACAACAATAGCCAAACATCAGCTTCTAACACATTACATAACACGTGTAATGGGAGAGCATCAACATTTCCCCAAGACAAAGAAGAAAACAACACAAATAGCAAATATTGATCTCTTTTTGTTCTTAAAAGGTAGGGATATGAAAGAATGCATACTGATGACAGAATTTTTAATGTTTTTTTTATATACATATACACACGCGCACACAATTTTTGCAAGGTATTTTCTTAAGTTCTCGAGCAACTCAACACGTAACCACAGAACTGTTATATGACAGTATGGAAGCCACGTAGCTCTTACAGGTAGCACAGAAGCAAAGCTCCTACAGCATCAAAGCAGGAGAGAACACAACAAAGCTAAGTAGCCACACAAAACTAACCAAATGCTAACTCAAAATAAATTGTAATGAACTGAAGGGGGCCATTAACTTACTGTAGGAGCATCAAAGGGGAACAAGAGATCTTAAACTAGGAGCTTTAAGAGGAGAACACATCCTGAAAACTCGGCTCTGTAGATAGATAGCCAGGAAAAGCCACTGGATAAATGTTTTCACTAGCATGTCTCCTTGTGAGTGTGGTCCAAAAGCAATATCTGGCAATATCTGTAAGTAGGCAAAACTTGTAACTGCAGTAAACAAAACTTTAGAAGCAGGAAAGGAACAAGATAAATGTCTTCTTCAATTAAACATGTGTGTCATACATCTGCTGTGCTAGCTCAGAAACCACAGCGAGATTTAAGAATGGATCTGAAGAGGCACACATATACAAGGGGGAGGAAACACCCACACGAAAGCATGCTTCCACGTGTCCATTTTCCACTGACATTTCAAATCATGCAACCCCACAGGATTTTTGCTATAGCCTGAGAAGGTATGCCATTGTCTGAAATTCATCATCTAGCAAACAAGCACAATGAAGACGTTAGAAGAACTTCTGTCTATCCTGACAAACCATCACTGCTTCAGATACTGTAAGGAAGGTGCACAAATGCAGGAAATTAGCATCTTTCTACTGCCTCCAGTAGGCAGTAGCTCATGTCCTCTAGGAACACACTGCCTTTGACGTGCATCACAATAACAAACCCTCGAACAGGAAAAAGACTACCTAGCCTAGACAGAAGAATACCCTTTTCAGATGTTGCGCATGCTAAGCTTACAAGAAGCAAACCACTTTCTACACAAATGTAAGCTAAAAGACAACACTAAGACTAGGTGAAAGGGAAAATAAGAAGTTCAAATACTGCTAAAAATCTGAGAATCTACACAAGGCAAGCACAAGATTGAAGCATCCTTGCCTGGTTCCACACCAGAGAGCAGAGGAAAGAGGAGGGAAATCTGGCAAAAAAAGGGGGTGATACAGAAGACTTCAAAATGAGTCAAGACCTCATCAAGCAAAAATTAACCAATTCAGCTAAGACCTACTCCACACAGGGACAGTGTGGAAACTCTTCTATAGCCTCTCTCACCTTCTTTACCACCACAGACCACAAACATATATTAATAAAGTGCAGGCTTCACCATTCACAGATAATCCAACTACCAGTAAAAAGCCTTCTTGGCTGTGCATACACAGGTGATACTGGCCAGGAGCTCACAGCCCAGGCAACAACAAACCCTTGATCCCTGTGAACTCCAAGTCCTTCCACTGTGCCCACAGACACTTGAGAACTAGTACAGGTCATGCATACCATTTATAAGCCTAGCACAATTTGTCCCTTCTCTTGCTCCATTTCATCATCCCAAGTAATGGTTTCATTTTGACCTGAAGCTTCTTCCCCACCTCTGAGCATACTGATTCAAATACTACAGTTACAATCATTAAGTATTCGCTCTGGAGATTTAAAAAAAAAAAAAAAAAAAAAAAAGAGAAGAACATGCTAATACAATCCAGTGCTCTGAAGAAAACACATTGTGTTAGTGTTTTAAAAGAAGTCAGAATGGTACAGGCCTTTGCTTTTTTTGTTTTGAAGTTAAACAACTTAACTCATCCTACTAATAGGCACAAAAGAGGGATGGGTGGAGAATCAAGCAGATATAAGTGCAAAAACTACATGGTTATCTGAATACATGTTGGCCAATTTTATCAACTTAAGATTTAAGAGATTATCTGGATAGGCTTTGGATGATTAAGCTACAGTTTTATCACAAAAAGTAATTGCAAATTATGCAGAAATAAGGTTTCAACCATTAAGATATTTCCAAAAACATCTTCTCATCTATATTTCAAGAAATAAATTGCTTTGGATTGAGGTCATATTGGGGATGGGTGGAAATGGGGAGTCGGGGCGGGGAAAGGAGGGCAAAACTGTTGCTTCATTAGCACAGGTTGCAACAACAGCCTGAAGCAGAATTTCTTGAATCTCTTAAGCATTTTTTCTCTTGAAACGCAGCTTCCCAACAATGACACTGAATCCCCTGATTTTAACAATGCTTTTTAAAGTAATGATTTCCATTAAAGGAAGTAAAGCAGAAGAGAAAAATGCTGGGCTAGAAACAACTTATTCTGTTTATTGTGCAGAAACTACACAAAATAATTTCAATTTTACTGGCTGATCAGCTTTAATTGTCTAAGCTTACGTAAAGCGGCATAAGATTTCTAGAATACTACTTCAAAAAACTAAACTTCCTGAAAAATTAGAAATATGTAGAGGAAAGTCACTCCGTGTTTGCATAACTATTTTGCTAATTACTTCCTCAGGCTTCCTATTTACCTAGATTCCTCCAACCAACAGATGCAAATATCTCAAAACTCTCTGTGAATGCTCAGAGGAGCCAGCAATAAAATAAACTAAAAAAGGAAGAGACAGTAAAACAAAAATGAAAGTACAGAGTGACTATGCCTACTGGTAAATACACACCCAAAATATCGCGTTTTCACCAAGAAACAAGAATTTGATATTTAAAAGAACACACTTTTCATACCTGTGTTGCCCATAAGCATCATCTTTCTACTGAAATGGACTAAATTGCTGACTGTACAAAAATATATATATTTATATATAAAAAGATGTCCCATGAGCCACATGATCTGATTTCCTTTTGATAAGGAGACACAAAATGCTAAAGAAAGAACAAGACTCTTTAAAATTCATACCTAGGATTGTTCATTTAAACTCACCTCCACAAAGGAGGTTTAAGCTTTTCTGAAATTGTTCCTCAGAAGAGATGAAAATTACTTATACTGAACGTTCCTAACATGGTAACCTCACTACTTATCAGCAGTGACAAAGTAGAAGACGACAGGCAAGGCTGACCATAGGAAAACATCAGGACAGGAGAAGAGGGACACTAATGATACAAGAACACAAGCAGAAGTGAAACAATTACACAACAAAGAATCAGCAGGCTGGCTGCTGCTGCAATGTGAACAGTTTCCTGTAATTCATTAGGTCTCCATCTTTGAAAACAAAGACGAGACAGATACAGAAAAACAAGAGACTTTTGTACAAATGTTCCAGAGAAAGGAGACCATTATTAATAACGTACCATGATTTACACACAGAGTTGAAGCTCAAGTCTGCTCTGACAGAGACATTAGTACCAGCAACACATTAACACAAGCCTGCTGCCACCCCGTGGTACTTCAACGTAGCTGCTCTTAAAGCAGCACGTTTTCCTCCACTCCAAAAAACAAACTTTAAATTCTTCTCTAATCAAACCAAACTTTTTTTTTTTAAAGGAACTCGCTACTTGAAGTATATCCTGCTGATAAATTTTAAGTTTAGCTTAAACTTAACAACACTGCAGAGCGACATGACTAAGAAAAACAGCTGAGCACAAGTAATCATACCTATTTTTCAGCCCAGGTTGAAACCCTCTGTGCCCAAGCCAATGCAAAGGCTTTCCCCAGTTTTGAGGTATGTATCTCTCCAAATCAAAGACAGATGATTGACATCTAGCCCCATAGTTTCAATCCAGAATTTTCTAGTCTCTAAAAATCTAGGAGCTTGGTCTTCCAATTGTCTATCTTTGTAGCAAACATGCTGAATAAGGTTTTTCATTACTTGGAAAACAAGGACAATTTCTGCTGACTTCTTACCACACACATGATGTAAGAGAGGATGGCCCCGGAGGAGCCAATGAGAGCACCAACAATGGTCAGCAAGTTGTTGTTCAGTAGGAAGCCCTCAGCACACAAAGCCCATCCAGAGTAACTGTTCAGGACAGTAATAACTACAGGCATGTCAGCACCTCCAATAGCTGCTGTTAAAGTGACACCCTGGAAAAGGAAAGAAAATACGTCAGTACAAGCTACGACTAAGGAGAACATGCAGAGAAGACAGTCTGCCTGCAGCACTGAAATAAGTATCAAGTTACTTAGTAACCTATTCAAGTATTTTCCATGTAGGAGACGTCAAGCTGTGGCCTGAGGATTAGACTTACTGATTCCGTGTTCTGCGAGTGGACAGAAAGGCACTTCACTGACCTCATCCTGTGCTTAGCCGCATATTTTTACTCACAAAAATATCCTATCAGCTCCATGGAACTGTTCATACCATTAAAGGATTCACATTGAGCACACTGTCTTTGCAAGACTCAGTTTACAATGTAGTAATATTCAGGGTAAATTTTGCAACAGCTGGTGTGAGTGAATGGGGGAAGCTACACATGGGGATAATCTTACTAAGTTATCATGACAACCTGTAGATCCAGTGGTCTTTTAAGTATTTTAAGGACAAACTTTCCAAAAAGTATTTTAAAATATCAGTTTGTCATATAAAAAGCTCCATTAAGTCATAGCTGTAAAAATTAATCATATACAAACGTGGTTTCTCTGGAACAGTTCTGGTTTACAGCTAGATTTAGGAAAGTCAGTTGCTACTTGCTACTGCAAGTCAGCATATAGGCACTATGATGATCATGACTCAGGATGGTAAAATACAATCATTAAAAGGAAACTTGCAACACTGAAGAAGAAACTGCTTCTTTATTTGTTTCACCTCCTAAAACTCCGCAGCTTACCATTATGGCTGAGAGAGCTGATACAGAACCTAAGCAAGTAATTCCTGTAGTGTAACTAGGATCGATCATGTACGGAACCATCCCGCCAACGCTGGCAGCAAGCAATCCTGCATTCAATGCATGTCGACCAGGCAAGAGCAGTGGTGCAGAATTCAGGATACCTGCAATCAAACGCATATTCAGAGATTGACACATACATGCAGGAGAGCCTGTCTCTTCCGCAGAAGACTGAATACCTCAGCAAAAGAAAAATTTAAAAAAGAAAAAGGGAGGGGCAGAACATAAAACAAGTTAATTGAAGCTGAGACCTTATGCTGACTCAGTATTGCAACACATTCAAACTTACTCTAGATTCCCAAATACTCCTGTTTAAACTCTTTTTAATTCCTCATCTCACTGAAGTGAGTCAGAATAATCATAAAATTCTCTTCTCTTGAAAAGCCTTTTTTTTTTTACAAATGTACTTTCATTCTGGCCCAAGTCTTTGCATGTTGTGTATGAAGCTCTGTAATACGAAACTTTTAACTGAAACTTCATAGTACAGGCATTACACCTCTGTCTCTCAAAAGCTGTGTGCTTAGAAAAACATGACTATGCAGATAACCTCAAATATAAAGCACTCCTGCTTTCAAATGCTTTAATTTCACCAGTATCCTCAGTCACACAGACTTCTCACAGCTTCCCACGTTGGCAGAAACTTGAGGGGAAAAGAAGGTTCAGTATTCGTGTGATTCCATTTAAAAAGACAGTTACATATGTACTTTCACCCGAGGCTTTCCCCCCCCCCCAAAAAAAAAACCACAGCAAAGTAAAGTTTATCTGTTACTTTAGTTGTAAGTAATTACCAAATGTCTCATATAAATGTATCTGAATTCAAGGGAAAGAATGAACTGATGGTCTAAGGGCTAGAGTCCAAGTGTGTGACCTACTACCTCTAGTTCAATGGTACAGACAAGCTACTTATTATCGTGCTGATATAAAAATGCAAAGGGGAGGGAGAAAAAACCCAAACAACAGGAGACTGGGCTGAAACAGGCAGTGAGTTCACTAGGGACATGTGCACAAACCACTGAAGGGGTGGATGGCGTAAGATGGAGAAGAGGAAAAAAAACAAGAAGAAATAAATGAGTAACTGCTTAGCAGAAATGTATCAGAAATACATACTACTGACAAATCCTTCAAAAGATTATTAGAGAAGACAGCTTTCCATCCATGTCATGCTTCCTCCTTCAATGGCTGGTCTCATAACCACTGAAGAAAGCAAACAGATGTTTCCCAAAGGAACTATTGTAAAGCTAATAATAGGATTAGTAATAGGAAGCTCTCAGCCGGAACTTCTTAGTACAGGTATTATCTCAGTCCCTCAAAACCTGTGTGCTTACAAAACCAAAAATAAATTCAATAAAGAAACCTTCAGGCACACAAGAATCAGGAATTAGTGCATATTTAATTCAGAAGGCATATTTACTAAAATGGTAAGAGGTACAGAGCATGGAGTTTGCACAGTAGGTAAACAGACAGTGAACTGAATGGTTTGAGGTGAGGCAGTCTCAACTGATACTGCAAGCTAGCTACCTACGCAGATGAAGCCTGCAATGCTAAGAAAAAAATCCCATAAATATTAGCGGTGGTCACTGAGTCCAGCAACACCAGCGTTTCTGTTAAAACATCTGCTCAGAAATAAAGAGTTGTGATCATAAAAGTAATTACAAAGACTTAACACCACTAAAGCAACACTTAATTCTAGACAAGATGAATTGAGGGAAGCTTACACAACTTGTCAGTTGATAGCAGCAGCAAGTCCAAGCATTGAAGACAGACCTTTCATAACTAAGGCTGTGCACAAATTAAAAAGAATTAAAAAGAAAAACGTACACTCATAAGAATTAAACATATAAACTTTTATCTGATGCAAAATACAAGGTTTCCTTCAAATTACACAGCAGTCTAAAGGCAAAGCTAAATCCTGGAGGAAAAAAACAACCTTTAACAAATACTTAATTCTGAATGGAAGGTCTCACCTTGCAGTTTTCCATAAGCAACAAGAGAGCCACTGAAAGTCACGCCACCAATGTACGTGCCAAGGTATGCCACAATCTTGGTGAGGTTTGCAGCTGGATCAGCAGCGAAGTGAGGATATTCAATCATGTATTCTGCTACACACGTGAGCACAGCAGCCAATGAAACCCCGCCACTAGCTGAGGCAGATCTGTAATCTGGATGCGTTTAGCAATCGTCAAACCTATTAAGAGTCGAAGACAGAGGGAAGTCTTACAAAACACAAACAATCTGTACAGCTAGAAATTAATGTGTCATGGTTCTGTGTACAAAAAATACACATATCTGTTCCAATGGAAAAACGTGTTCTACACTAGAAATTGCTACGGCATTTAACTGAAAGCTGCATATGTGTTATTTTGTGCAGTGAGGATATCATGGAAGTGAGAAGATTAAAGCATATCATGTTTTTAGAAGCTTCACTAAATATTGAAAAACTCAACATTTTCTGCAATGAAAGCGCAGTGTGAAAAAGGGAATTTGGCAGCATTCAGTAAGGACATGAAGTACGAAGTTGGGGAAGTTCATTCACCTCTGCATACAGTTTCACCAACAGAGATGATGTGCTTCTGCTTTTCCACCAGCCTTCCCGTTCTTTACCACATCCTAATGCTTTAATAAAAGCCCTGGGACTTAACGATTCTTTTTTCACATATTTGCAAAATAAAACACACAGGCCATAAACGTAAGTTGGTCAATTCATCACCTGTGAGCTAAACAGTATTTTGTGTATGTACAGCTGGCATAAATGCATGTATGGAGCGTATATTGTAGTTTACGGTATCACATACACACCTATGGTGCCACCAAGCGCCATGGCACCTGACATCTGCGCCAACAATTCAGGTGAGGGTTTAAGGCCTCCAAGAGTTGCTGCTAAACCTCCGGCAACACCAATCATACCCAAAGCATTTCCAAGACGAGCTGTTCCTTGGGTGGACAGGCCAGCCAGGGCACCCACACAGCATAAGCCTGAGCCTAGATACATCACCTTTAAAGTAAGAAAAGCATCAATACGCATACGTGAAGTAGAGATAACTTGCATAATCATTATAAAAATCTTTCTGATTAATTGACAAAAAGGCTTATTTCTCCAGAAAGTGTGTAAGTCACAGTTCTTAACTGAACTCAAAACTCTTGACTATGGGAAACTGTTGTACAGGATGTGATTTTGGACAATTAAAGTGTGGTATCTATTAAAACTTTTCCCTACTTAATGACCTTGGTTCATCTGCACTGCAAATACTAAGCTTTCAGAATTTGCTTATGGCACATCTGAACACCTGTTTTCAAAAAGTATATTAAATGAACTGAGCTGTACATGTCTAGATAACTGAAAGCACTCAACTGTATTACAAACCCCTGACATAAATGTATGTTTGGATTCACTTTTCCAAACACAGAAGGCAATACATGTCACTTTTTCTTACTATTAAAACAAATCCAAACAAAAGTTTACCATAAAAGCTTCTAAAGATACAATCCCTGTACATCTCTGTGCTGAAATCTCATGCCATCCAGATGTCATTCCTACTTCAACTGTCATGTCAAGTTGAATTTTCAGAAACACTTAAACCAAAGACTGATTTTCCATAGACGCTGTAATATTTAAACTGTAATTTAGGAAAACTGTCCAATAAATTACAAAGTACCTGCTGCTTTACAAAGACAAAAAAAAAGCTTTTAAAACTTGCAGATGCATCATTTGGGGTACAATTGCAAACTTAAAGTTAATCAACTTCAGACTGGCCTTGTGGGAATACATAACTGACAAAAACACCATGGCTAATTTGCTATTTACTCCTCAATAGAGTAAGCACTGAAGCAGTCAGTTCATCAAGCTGTGAAGAGTAGGCTAAGAGCTACAAATTTATCTTACCTGTTCGATATTATAGCCACCGTTGAGAGCAGCTACATAGCCTCCTACAAACACACCACCAGGAAGTAGGTACAAGTAGTTGTACTCAGGAGGATCTGTGGGACGTTTGAACATATCCAGCATTCTCTGTGTAACTAGAAACCCACCTGGCCAAAGTAAAGGAACAATTTTACAAAAATAAAGTCCAAAACTAAGCATATGCCAAGCTCTAAGAGAAATATCTGGTTAAATCGTATTACCACACAAAGTTAGCAACTGACACCAGTAAGGCCTCTGAAAAGCTAGTAATCTGGAAAACCACCAGGAAACACAGGTGGAATCAGGTTGAGATCCTGTTGTCTTTTTTAGCCTTTGGAGGAAACTCATAAATGGAGGAGCTGAAAAGCCTGGAAGACTCACTCTGGCTCCACACTCTATGATGACCATAGCATACAGCTTACTTTATGACTGTGTCCTTTTATCTACTCCAGCAAAAAGCAGTATTTCTAAGTCACATTGCTCACTCTATCTTTTTCATTAGTGAAGTTGGGACTTCTGAAGCTTGAGCAAGCAGAATTTTGTCTATGCCACTAGTATATTTTTCGAGTAGAAAAGGCATACAAGGACAAATGCAGTACCACCTTGGGATTTACAGGAAAACACATTTCATATAATCATCACCCAAAGGATACTGTAGAACCAAAATGCACATTTAAATGCTTCCCTAAAAAAATGTTACACCACAGGGTGTGCAAACCAGATACAATAACTACTATGAAAACTTGGGGGCAGTAGTTCTTTAGAATCATGAAATTGTTTAGGTTGGAAGAGATCTTGAAGATCATTGAGTCCAACCATTAACGTAACACTGCCAAGTCCACCACTAAACCATGTCCCTAAGCACCGCATCTATACATCTTTTCAATACCTCCAGGAATGGTGACAGCCACTTTCCTGGACAGCTTGTTCCAATGCTGGACAACCCTTTCCTACTGTCCAATCTAAACCTCCCCTGGTACAACCTGAGGCCATTTTCTCTTGTCCTATTGCTTAATACTTGAGAAAAGAGACCAACACTCACCTCACCACAACCTCTTTTCAGGTAGTTGTAGAGAATGATAAGGGCTCCCCTCAGCCTCCTTTTCTCCAGGCTGAACAACTCCAGTTCCCTCAGCTGCTCCTCCTAAGACTTGTGCTCTAGACCCTTCACCAGCTGCGTAGCCCTTCTTTGGATGCGCTCCAGCACCTCAATGTCTTTCTTGTAGTAAGAGGCCCAAAACTGAACACAGTACTTGAGATGCGACCTCACCAGGGACAGCAGGATGATCGCTTCCCTAGTCCTCCTGGCCACACTATTCTCAATATAAGCCAGGATGCTTTATTGACAGATGCTTGTCCTGGTTTCAGCTGGGACAGTTTTTCTTTTTAGTTGCTAGAATAGCTCTGTGTTTTGGATTTAGTATGAGATTTGTTATGAGAAGAATGTTGCTATCACACTGGTGTTGATAGCTGGTGCTGAGACATCAAGGACTTTTCAGCTGCCCATGTTTTGCCAGTGTGCAGGAGCACAACAGGCTGGGGAGGAGCACAGCCAGAACAAAGGACCCATAACTTTATCTATGATTTGAATTTAGATTTAGGATTGAGGGCCAAATTGGCCAGTGAAATATTCCAGGTCATGCAACATCATGCTGGGTATATAGATGAGGGCTGACGAGGAAGTTTTGGAGGCTCTCTTGGTCTCTTCTCGGACTTTCTCGGACTCTCAGAGTTCTCTCCCTCTTGTGCTCTCTTTTTCAGGATCACTTGCTGGGACGGGCATTGGTCACCAGATGGTGAGCAATTATACTGTGCATCACTTATTTGTATATATTATCATTGTATATATTATCATATATTATGATGATTTTATTATTATTACTTCTTTTGATTTTATTTCAATTATTAAATCCACAAGTCTCCTTCCCTTTTCACCTTTAATTCTCTTCCTCATTTCCAAAGGGGGAGGGAGGGTGGGTGACCAGCTGCATGGCATTTAGTGCCAACCAGGTTAACTGCAGTAATGCTCTCAGATCCTACTGCCAGAATAGTATTTCTGGAATCTATACAATTAAAGAACTAGAAGAAATAAATTAATGCCACACGTGCTTCAAAGTTACCCTCAGGAGCAAGCCTAAAACTCGTACCTGCAATATTGACTGAAGAGATGAAGGCCGAAAGCACTGCTAGACTTTCAGGAGTGTTTTCAGGGAGATAGTTTCCTCCCATCAACACCAGCCCACCAACAGCAGTTAGTCCTATTTAAAATAGGAAAAAAGCATTAGTCAACCTTAAAAGGCTCTATACCTACAGCAAGTTTCCTTTCAGATGTCAAACACATACCAGTCAACCCAAATTTTGACTCCTACTCTACACATTACTAATTAAACAAGACTACCATGGTCTCTTTGAGCAATACAAACATGTTTCAAACAAAAAAAAAATTAGTATATGAATATAATTTTGAAATACAGTGCCTCAAGCACAGAGTCAGCCTCAAGTACTTGTTCAATAAAAGAAACTTTGCTTTTAATAGTCAAAGTAGATCAGGCTCATGACCTGCCACATATTTACACACATAGGTATAAAAATCCTACATATTTTCAGAGTTATGAATCTTACAAGTCACTTAAAAATTTTTTCTTTTTCTGAAAACACATAGTTGAGGAGAAGAAAAAAAGAATGCAGAAAACAGGAAAGACAAGTTAGCAACAAGCTAGTGGGGCTCGTCAACAGGGCTGTAAACTGCATTTGAAAGAGAAGGGGAATAATATCAAGCCTGATCAAGACAAGCTGAGAGCACATGAAGAGCAGAAGAAAGTCACCCCAGTCAGGAAGTCAGATTCATTGGGGGACCAACTTAAATGCTTCTATGCAAATGCAAAAACAAAAAGAAAAAAAAAAAAGAGCAATCAGAGGTGTGTACACACCTGCAGGGCTGTAATCTTACGGGCATCACAAGAGACATGGTGGGGTGAATCCTACGACTGGAGTGTCATTATGGAAGGATACAGGCTCTTTAGGAAGGACAAGCAGGGGAGAAGAGGAGGAGGTGTCGCATTCTATGTCAAAGACCAGCTGGAGTGTATGGAGCTCCACCTGGGGATGGATGAGGAGCAAACCAAGAGCTTATGGGCCAGGATTAAAGGGAGGGCAGGGGCAGGTGACACTGCACTGTACAGGCCACCTGACCAGGAAAACCAAACAGATTAGTCCCTCTACAGACAGATAAGAGCAGCCTCACATTCACAAGCCCTGGTCCTCATGAGGGACTTGAAAAACCCAAATATCTGTTGGAGGGACACCACAGCAGGGCAGAAGAAATTTAGGAGGTTCCTGGAATGTACTGATGATAACTTCCTTCTCCAAGTGATTCCAAGAGGAACCAATGAGGAGAGGTGCTATGCCAGACCTTGTTCTCACTAACAAGGAGAGGCTGGTGGGGAATATGAAGCTCAAGGGCATCCTTGGCTGCAGTGACCATAAAATAGGGAGTTCAAGATCCTTAGGGCTGCAAGGAAAGCACAGCTAGCTCACTATCCTGGACTTCAGGAGAGCAGACTTTGGCCTCTTCAGGGATCTGTGCTTGGGGTATTATGGGATAAAGCCATGGAGGGAAGAGAAGCCCAAGAAAGCTGGTTAATACTGAAGGATCACCTCCTGCAAGGTAAGAGGAAGAGTAACTGATATCATCTACCTGGACTTATCCAAAGCATTTGATACTGTCCCACACAACATCCTTGTCTCTAAACTGGAGAGACATGGATTAGAGGACGGACCACTTGGTGGATTCAGTAAATGGCTCAATGTCCAAGCGGAGACCAGTGACGAGTGGTGTTCCTCAGGGGTCAGTATTGGGGCCAGGGCTGTTTAACATCTTTGTTGGTGACATGAACAGTGGGATCGAGTGCACCCTCAGCAAGATTGCTGATGACACCAAGTTGTGTGGTGTTGTGGACACGCTGGAGGGAAGGGATGCCATCCAGAGGGACCTTGACAGGCTGCAGAGGTGGGCTTGTGAGAATCTCATGAAGTTCAGCAAGGCCAAGTGCAAGGTCCTGCACATGGGTTGGGGCAATCTCAGGCATGAGTACAGGCTGGGCAGAGAATAGATTGAGAGCAGCCCTCAGGAGGAGGACTTGGGGTGTTTATACATGAGAAGCTCAACATGAGCCGGCAGTGCACTCATGCGGCCCAGAAGGCCAACCGCATCCTGGGATGTATCAAGAGGAGCGTGGACAGCAGGTCAAGAGAGGCGATTCTCCCCCTCTACTCTGCTCTTGTGAGACCCACCTCGAATACTGCGTCCAGTTCTGGCGTCCCCACCATAAGAGAGACATAGATCTGTTGGAGCGTGTTCAGAGGAGGGCCACAAAGATGATCCAGGGGCTGAAGCACCTCTGCTACGAGGACAGGTTGCAGGAGCTGGGATTGTTCAGCCTTGAAAAGAGAAGACTTCGGGGGGACCTAATAGCTGCCTTCCAATACCTGAAGGGAACTTACAGGAAGGCTGGGGAGGGACTTTTTACAAGAGTGTCCACTGATAGGACAAGGGGAAATGGTTTTAACTTGAAGGAGAAAAGATTCAGATTAGACCTTAGGAAGAAATTCTTCAGTACGAGGGTGGTGAGACTTTGGAATAGATTGACCAGAGAGGCTGTGGATGCCTCCTCTCTGGAGGTGTTGAAGGCCAGGTTGGACGGAGCCTTGAGTAGCCTGATCTAGTTGAGAGGCGTCCCTGCCCATGACAG